GGGGGGTGTTACAACTGTGGCGGTACTGGCCATTTTGCCAGGGAGTGTCCTAATAGTGGACGTTGATTTTAGGGTATGGAGTGGAAATAGCAAAAAGGAGAATTGATTTTTATCAAGTCTTCCTCTTTACTGATTTATTTCCACCTCTTTTACCTTTGCTTTTGCATTTAGTGGTGTTGTCTTTTAGGTGGTCTTCTCGGTGACTCATTCTAGTGTTTGGGCTTAATGGGTTCCTTGCTCTATCCAAGTGTTTTGATGTTGTTTTAAGGTTTTTAATGGTGGTGATTGTCTGTCTGTCTGGTTTCAAGTTGCTAGAAGGTTTCAAATCGGTATGATGGTGATAGGTCTTAAGTAGTAGGGGGCAGTAGAGAGGGATTGGATCTTGGTGAAGGAAACAATTATCTTGTTCTAAGCTGTAATCTCTCACTGTTTTTATACACAATATATATGAATATACATGCTGGTTTGATTCAATGCTCTATTAGCATCTTAATCTTTTTATTTTGTCCTCAGATTGTGACGCTTCTTGATCTCTGTATCTTGCTTGATAAATTGCTTTTTATACTCTCAAGAGCCATGAAAGGGAAATTGTATTCTTTAAAGACCAACTTTTGATGCCCTCAGATTTTTATTGGTTCTTTATTTGGTCTTGTGGGCGCAAATTGCAGGTTTGAAGGGAGGGCTATTTAGACTACTCCCCTCTCTCTCTCTTGGAAAGTTTGAACCACATCAGTGCATAAAGCTCTCGAATAATGCAAAGCTCACCAATTATGGGAGCTCCCTGTTTTGCAGTACCATCTTGTGTGGTTCCACGCTTCCTTCCACTCGTGGTCTTCTCGTTTTAAGATCCCACTTACTCCTTTGATTAGCCGCTAATCCTAGATATGATGCTTAATTAGTTTCATTAGATTATGTGTGTGGGATTGAAAGCGGGTTGCAGGAGCAGTGCTGGCCTGCTGGGTTGTTTCATGGAAAGAAGAATGAACCTTCAACTCCACCTGAGAAATTGCAACCAAGCTGCCTTTATCGGCATGGGATTTGTAATGGGAACCAATTCAGTGAGCTTGGTGGTGGGATTTGCTCATTTACTGCTGTGCTTCATTTGGTTTCCTTGCAGTGATGGAATGGGGACCAAAATACACTGGTTCTTGGTCATGAAATAAATGTGTTGACCAATCTTGAGTGGCATGTGGAGGCGTCCTTCCAAATGCTGAACATGCTACAAAAAACTACGAACATTTGCTGAGGCTGCCACTTTCTAACCATACATGCCCAGTGGTGTTCGCTTTCATTTCTCTGTAACGTGTGGTGTTCTCTTGGTCAAGATTCACTGTTGTCGTTAGGGTGAAAAAAACTCTGAGGTGGGCTTATTATGGGTAACCATTCTCACAAATTATTGTGGACCTCACCGGGGAGGTCTCCCTTACTGCAAGGCATAATTCTCTTTGTAGAGCTTGGTGATATTTTGGACCAAGTCGATGTTGTGATTTTGGAAGGGCCCAAGTTCGGTCTTCAAATCTTTTGCTGGGCTTTTGGGTCTTGAGGACTGGGTTTTCATAAACCCAACAACGTATCATTGGGAGAATATAATTGCCATGACATTTGCCTACCGGACTGCCGATCAATTCATACCTCGAGAGATGAAGTTTCTGGATTAAGTGGGCTGGCTGTTAGCTTTGCTTGCACATTCTTGAGATGTGTTTTCTTCTTTGCCAAGACAGATGGACAGATACACTAGCCATCATGCACTTCAGAATATATGAATTGCCACCAAAAAAAAAAAAAATCAAATTTGGTGCGAATAAAACTTGTCAAGGATTGAAAATACTTAGTATTCATACCTTAAAAATATAGTTTACTGCAGAACCCCTTATGCCTGGTGAGTTTAGTTAGCATTTACCTGGCCACGAATTACTGAATAACGGGTTTCACAAAGATTTTTACAGCAAATAGATTCCAATTTAGAGATCTTTTTTTTCCCATCCATTGAGAAAGTTGACTTTCTAGGGAACGAAAAAATTCAGTTCTTTTTTCACTCTTGTCAGTCTAATTATGAATTATATGGAAACAAATCACAATCATATCTCTTCAGATTTGGAGTTCATTTCATTTTGTATTGACCCATTTGGAAGTTAGGAGTGGTGTGTTTGCATATAAGTTATACTGTTAATGACAGACAGGAAACAGTACGTTGAGATTTGAAGATTTTCTACATTTCCTATCTTTCCTCTTCTTTCTATGTTATCTTCTTTCTCTCTTTTCTTCTGATTCTGACATTGCTGTTCACTAATCTTTTCACCATATTTTCCCTCTACTCGATTCGTTTTCATCACACCTTAATATATTTCCATTTCCAAACAATTGAATATTTAGCTGCCTTATAAAGGTTTTGAACTTCTAATCTCATGTTTTCCTTGCCTTAGGCGGTGGATGATGAATAAGTATAACTTAAATTCAGTTTTTAATATGTTTAATCACCTCCTTAAGAGGGTTAGGTGATTGGCTCTAAAGATGGCAGATCTGCTTATTAAGAAAGTAGTTAAATGGTGTAGCTAATAATTAAATTAACCAAAGTTTACTATGGAAAAGAAAAACCTTTTCATATATATTACACGTTCATTGGGCTTGAGATTCTATCTGGGTTTTTATTCATGTCCTCTTACGTATTTCCAAGTAAGTTTAACCAAACTTATCTTTGGTTAGTATTTCAAAATAGAAAAAAGTAAATTCGAGGGCCAAAAGACACATTTTAACTCGATAATTAAACTAAATATGACTGGATTTACTATTTTTAAATCACTTCATAGGCAAAAATAAGCCAAAGAGCATGTCTCCCTCACGTTCATTATTGTCTTCTTGTCTTTCGAATAAAGGAGGAAACCATGTAAGAACCTAAGCAATCTTTACAGAAAGACATGAAGCTTTTTTTTTTTTTTTTCCCATGGAGGTCGCATGCTCTTATAAAGGGATCGAGGTCTGTCATCAAAGGGAACTTTGAGCACTCTGTGACCCTGCTATTATAACCTTTATAAATAGTGGCAGATTTTTATTAGATTCCCACATCAGACACTTCATGGCATATAGTTCTAGCAGCCTTATTCACTCAAAAAATGGAGCAACAGTAGCCTCAATCCTGACGTCATTCGTCCATCTTTCTCTTCTTTTTAATCACCAGGGACTTGTCTGGTTGGCATTCTACCAGGTCAAGTCACCTGCTATAATCATGGAATGAGCTTGGTATAGTTTGCATAGAAAGTGACTGGTCGTGACTTTGCCTGACATGTCATTTTCACGATCGATCTAAGCACCCTCCATGGGGTTGGTGCGCGAGCAGAGGTTTGATGGGGCAATGAGATGAAAAATTGAAGGCGACACTAAATACTGCCATGGAAGTTTAGAATGGACTAGCTAATGTGACAAGGCAACATGGATAGTAGATGATGATAAGGATCTTTCGAGTGGTTTATCTCCAAAATTGAAGAAGGATGTGCTGTTAAATTCTCACTTGATGGGCTGATTTAGTGATTTTTTTTTAATCAAGATTTAAATCATGTCAAATGTACTCACATCCTAATGAATTATTTAGTTCTAGTAACAGTATACAGAGGTTGAGCTAGAGTGAAATAGAGGGGTGGGGGTTTAAAAAAAGAATGACGGTAAGAAAGCAGATAATTTATAAACTTTTGGAAGGGTCTTGTTGAACAAACCCTTAAATATAAGGATAAAACTTATATTTTATAAGGGTCTTGCAAAAATAATTCATAGATGGAAGGATGAGGATTCTATCATAAAAAGAATTATTATAGTGTAGTTTTGGCCATAAATATGAAACCAAACTCAAGAGGTATATCCATAAGCTCATGATCAAAAAATTAATTTAAATTAAATTAAAAATTATATTGATTTAATAAAACTTGGTTGATTTATCTTGATTGATGTATGACCTGGTCAAACTAATATAATCAACTCAAAAAATTAAAAAAATAATAATAGAATGACTTCGTTTTAATAAAAACAAATTGGTTTGGCAATTTGTATCTTTTTCTTATCAGGTACTCTACAATCATTAAAACTGAAAAAAAAAAATGTTATGTTATAATACTGTCATTGTTGTTTTTCTAACGCAATTCATAAAATAGTCATTACAATCACAAAATAAAAGCCAGAAAATTTTGGAAGGCAATAGCAATATCTTTGGCTATTCAATATCTAAATCATTTTTTATCTTATTTATCCAACACACCATTTATTCGGCACGGTTGCATGCATGTTATCGAAGTGACGATGTATTGCTGAGATTTTCCAATATAAAATAAGTATTCATCATCACAAATTAAGATCTCTAATTAGGTGAGAAAACCTTTAATTACCATTTCTTGACTCTTGCAGAATAACGTTGAAAAGGAGGACAAGGGCTAGAAGGAGAATCTTGGACTAAGACAGGTGCTAAACATTTCGGAATCTCATAGCTAAAAGTACACATATTCAAAAATTTCATAGACGTTTTTTTTTTTCTTTTCTCTGAGAACACATAACAACTCTCTAAAGCAGGATAAAGACAGAATTATGATGAAAATAGGATGGGATTTGTATGTTTATGAGTACATGACAATTTTGACTAGCCAACCACATTGTGATTCTTTTTATCCTCTCTGTCCATGGTCTACCAAGCAAGCTGACTGAGATGGAAAGGCCCTTGATCAAAGGGTGGAACCCAGATGACTATGAGAACTTTGGAGTTAGCAATCTTCGAAGTGGCTAAAATCATGGGCTGTGAGTAAGGTTGTGTGGGTGGTGGAGAGGTGGAGGAGCTGCCGTGGCATTTAGGTGCGGCAATGATGGCGCCATTGTTGGAGGTGGGCATTGGTAACACTTTGTGAAGAGCCCAAAAGTATCAATTTGGTGTACGAAATTTGTAACACTAGCCCATCCACCAAATCCAAACCCAACAATCAGCACCCACACTACCACAAATGAATTCATCACGTATGTCCCTACCCATCTCCCCATGTACTTTGGTGGTCGCTCCACTGCATTCTGCAAGCAGAGAAAACAGAGTCACACAATGGCCAAATTGCAATACTGGGTCAACAATGAATCGGATCATAAGGGTTCTTGGGGCCTCAGGGTCCCGCGTATTTTTGTAGCTGTACGGAATAGAAAAGGTCCATCAGGACAAGACAATTTAATAGAGTACAAACAAGATATGAAGAATCAGGTACGGCTAGATACTCTGCCTCGGTGGTGCAGCACATATCTCATTCCTTTATGCAAGCCAATTATATCATTTTCGAATGGCTTAAATGTTAAAGTATCATGGCATTCAATGGCTTGGACAACATGATCTTAATTATATCATTATCTGATTAGGAGAAAGTTCCGGGTCTGGTCTGCTAGAATGTGACCACACGCTACTATCTGCATTTCTTGCCGTTTACTCATTGCCATGAGCCCTAATTAATTATTCTTTTGGTCGACA